ACTTCCGTAGTGGTGTGCCCACTGTCCACCCAGCTGTCAAAGAGTTTTGCTCTGTGAGCAAAGACTCTGTGGTGACAGCTTAGTGTCTCCTTGTTCATCTCATGCTCCTCCCTTCCAGACCCTGTCACACTCCCCCAGTGACAGTGCCTGGTGAAAGGAGCAGCGGAAAACCTCGCGTACTTGCATGGGTTCAAAGTGCCCATCATCCGCAACACCCTATGTGCACCCATTTCTGTGATTATCATCTCTTCCAGACCCTCTTTCGCTGGGGGACCGACTGCGAATCGCGCAAGGAGCCGCGGAGGGGCTGGCATACCTGCATGGGTTTGCGACGCCCATCATTCACCGCGACATCAAGCCCGCCAACATCCTCGTGACGGCCGACATGCAAGCCAAGGTGGCTGACTTTGGGCTGCTCAAGCGGATCACTCACGGGGAGGATAATCAGACCAGGGTGGCCGGCACTCCCGGCTATGTGGACCCTGAGTACAACCGCACACGCGTGGTTACCACCAAGAGCGATGTCTTCAGGTAGGGTTGGTTCTGGGGTAAAACGTGCCCTGTTGTCATTCGCACGATTTCAATCTGATTGTTATCTTTCGCATCAGCCGTATGCATCAAGGCTGTTTTGCTGCTTGAACTTACCCACAACTACTCTCTTGCTTGCAGCTTTGGCATTGTGCTTCTGGCACTGGTGACTGGCAGGCCCCCTCGGGTTGAAGAGACACACATACGAACATGGGTACGTAAAACAGATGGGCAATATTGTGCAGAACACTCAGGCAATATAGTGCAAATCACATCGGCAATATAGTGCAAATCACATCGGCAATATAGTGCAAATCACATCGGCAATATTGTGCAAATTGTGTGGTCTGATTCCTTCTTGTACTAGCGTTACCTTGTTCTCATTCCCCCTTTCTGCTGCGTTGACTCATTCCAGGCAACCAAGATGGTGGAGGACTATCAGGTGATTGGCATGAAGGATAGCAAGCTAGACGCAACTGAAGAGGCCGTTCTTGCCATTGTAGACCTCGCTCTCGACTGCATCAAATCGCCAGGTGCTCGCAGGCCTGACATGAAGGACATTGCATACCGCCTCACAGCGCTCATTGATAAGTACTGCTCGGACAAGCAGTCAGAAGTAGAGGAAGTAACGGGTAAAGCAGTAGATGAGATTCCCTCCGACTCTTCTGCAGGGACTGGCACAATCTCACAGACTTCCACCATGAGTCTTGGATCTTTTATGAATGGCATGGGTAGCTGGCTGGAGAAGGGGCCAAGCTGATGGACTTTGCACAAACGTCAATTCACCACATGCTAGCTGCCGATCCCCAAGAATAGATGCTCCTTTAAACATGTAGTTGAGTTTTCCTCTTTTAGGGGGTTTAATTTATGTGCCATGTGTCTTCTGAGGAGGGATCCAAGTTTGTCTAGCTGCTAATATGATGCAGTTGGAAGTGTGATAGTTGCAAGGCTAGGTGCATATGACCATCTGTCAATCATACATTAGATGCTGGGGTTTCCCAGTCATGTTTATAGCACCCCCGATTCATTGATATGTGGTGGTAAGGATGTGTCGAGTGTGTACAACAGGTACCATATGGCCCCGGATAGTAGCGCATATGAGCTTACTGTACAATAAAATCGATTTTTTTAGGGGCTGACATGTAATTGAGTCTTGGGCATAAGCACATGCGCTTACGTAATGACAAATACCGAGTTATATGTTTATAGCATCAAAGTGAGCATCTCATTCCTTCCAATCAATCGAGTCGATGTTTTATAGCGTCAGGAATGAGAATCGCGCGCAAGCGATTCTCTGCCAACACACAGGGGCAATGACATGCCCGCCCCTATGCCAATACATTCTGTTCTGGCTGGACGCGCAGCTTGTATTCTTCGAGAGTCAACCGAACCCAAAAGGAATGTGTGCTACTAGCTTTAAAATCGGAATAAAATAAAATAAAATTATGCATACGCTTATAACAAATAATGGATTTCTAGGGGGTGCGCTTATAATCGAGTACCGGCCCTAAGCGCCATGCTCCAGGTATAAGCGCCGACGCTTTTAATAGGACGGCGCTTATCCGAGGCCATACGATATGGACCTGCCCTATTTGCTCAGCCCCCACTATCCGCCCTCCGTCCCTTGCAAAGTGTGGGAGGGCGTTTGGGTACAAGGTGGACCTCACCCATCACCTACGCACACACTCCCATTCCCACATTGCTTCCCTCCTCAATGCCCTCTGTCCTCACCCTTCCCCCGCTTCCTCCCGTGCAGCTTTACGGAGTGTGAGAGGGCGTTTGGGTAGAAGGTGAACCTCATACGCCACCTGTGCACACACTACGGCCAGCCAGCGCGGCAGCAGCAACACACACGGGCAAGCCCTCCCTAGCAGTTGCAAGAGAATATGCAGTTCAGCCCTGCCTGCGCAATGCATACACCCCAGAGGACGGCTTAAAGTGCCTCACACACCACCTGCGCACACAATAAGGGCAGCCAGCGTAGTAGCACCAGCACACGTAGTCAAGCCCTGGCTGCGTGATTCACACGCCTCGCACCAGCGCCTCACACGTCACCTGCACACACATTACGACCAGCTCGTGTGGTAGCACACTACAATTTCATGTATTGTTATCAGGCACCGAAATGGTACCATTAGTACCTTGAGGGCGGGCATACGATATGCAAGATCAAGCTGTGTGCAGAGCTGCTGATAATCACAAGGTGGGAGCGCCTTCGTGAAGATATCATCAGTGTTGTGTTGGACTATGAGGACAAGTAAACTATGCATGCCTGGCTGCACTACTGCAGCTCACGCAGCAAGAAATACTAGAGTTGGATATGATTCGCTCTGCCCTCTAGTCTAGGCTCCTTGAAACAAAGGGATCATGGCCTTCTTATCAGTGAACAGATCCGGGGTAGAGCTAGGCAGCTCACACAAGCCAATAAGGAAGAACATCAACCAGTGGAACTCCTAAGAAACCATAGCACCAACAGCATAGATCTATGCCTCACAGCAAGACAGTGCCACCGACGACGAGCGAATGGGCCTCCACAAGACAGATTTCAGCGCCATGATTGAATAGTAGCCGTAAGAGGACCGGAGTCTCTCGATGTTGTGTGCTTATGAAGCGTTAGTTTGTCTCGTGAGTGCAACTCGCTGTCGCCCACCAAGCACAAGCCCCATGCGTGATGTGCTAGCCAGATAGTGCAATACCTTCTTAGAAACCGGCCAGTGTTCAGGTCGGTGTCTCCCAGTCGCAACAAAACGAGCAAGGATGGCAAGAGAATGTGCGAGATATGGGAGAGTGCAAGTCATCAGGTACATTAGGCATCCCTCCAGCTTTGCATATTGACCACTGGGTTCAAATTACTTATCAAGAATAGGGGCTGAGAGCGTATGGCAACAGGAGAACAAGAGAATCAGAAGCCGAAGCACTGAGGATTTGCTGCACCATGTGTGGTTGAGTCAAAGCGATGGTGCGCACTGCTTTGACCCTGGTGATATGTATGCCAAGATAGCGGCACAACTCACCTAGGTCAGTGGAAGCGTGTCTTCTCAACGACTCGTCCTTTACGGAGGCCAGTGCGACCCTGTCTGGAGTAACAAATACCACGTCAAAGACGTAGAAGAGGATGTGAAATGGAATCGAGCCAAAGCAAACAAAGATAGACAGACCAGCAGAGGGCGGGTGTGGCAGTACATTGCCTGTTATGTCCTCTTTTCTCCTAATCGAATTTTTTATTTCTATTTTTTCACACTAGTTTCCCTGTTTGTCTACTTTAATATTTCATATTTTGGTATTATGCACTGAATTTGTTATGTGACATTGCGCGCGCGTGACTTTATTGAACCTGGAAGGCTCTATTTTCGCTAATTATAGAGCATCGGTACATTCTAGAAACATTATGGATACCTTTTTTGTATTGTGCCAATATAAAGTATCGTGGTTGTACCCAGGATTCAAAAATTACATTCGAAGTGAAGTCTCGGTCCTCTCACACTTGGTACTCATAGCTTATTTACACTTCCCAATTTTATTTCGTTGGTTCACACTCCCAAAAACCGGCAGGGGTGACAGCACCGCGCTTCGGTTTTAAATTCCCCTTGCATGATTCCCGAATAGGCATGCCGACGTGAATGGAGGAGGCTGGCGACTATTTCGTGCAAACATTCGTGCACTTGCGCGCCAAGGAGGAGCAGACTCGCAACGAGCCCTACCGATTGGCAACACTGTTTGTGAATTGTTTGCAGCCATAGCGAGTGTACCTGCGACGATAGCGACACCCACGAAACCGAGGCTACCATAGGCAACAGTGGCCATGACTATAACGTTTTTGGGCCCCTGAAACCGAGGCTACCAGAAGCAGCGACGTCCATCGATTCATCGCTACACTCGAGATCTACTTCGCAGCTATTGGATGCACGACCCAAGAACAGGCTATGACACGGGTACAACTCGCATCTACACTGATGTGAACAACGACACTAGAATGGATTTTTGCAGACAGTGCTTTCGTCAAAGGTGAAGGGCCGTGGGAGCAATTTTAGACTGACTCAATTCATCATTTCGAACCTCTAAATAGCACATATATGAATTAGGAGAATATTTATCGACATTCACAGTATACGAGTGTGATGCAGTGTATGAGAAGAAGTGAACGAGAATGAATGAACTATGAATGAAGTGAGTACAAATATGAAACCCTAATTGGGTTGTACCTCCTATGGGATACCCCACTATAGCCTACACAAATAAGTAAGCTATGATGTTCTGACACACCCCCATAGGCAAAGTGGGGGAGAACAAGGGGTCACAAGACCAGTCAAGCAAAGCAAAGCAAAGCTCAGGGTGGATCACAAAGTCACCACACATTCCGAGCACAAGTTCAAGGGCCACAAGGCCAGTTCACATGCAAGATCATATATAGAGATATAAAAGAGTCAAGCAAGCAAGAGCAAGAGTATATATAGGTCAAGGTACAAGCAAGGTCAAGAAGTGAGCAAGTGAGGCAAGACAGGCACAAGACCTAGCTGCGTGCAGCAACGCTGATGATCACAAGGCGCAAGTGCCTTGGTGAAGACATCAGCAGTGTTGGCCTCAGAGGCCACGTACGCAAGTCGCAACTGTCCACGCTGCTGTAGCTCACGAGCAAGAAAGTAGCGGAGAGCAATGTGCTTTGTTCTGTGCTCCAGTCGCTGCTCTCGACACAAGGCCAGCATGGCCTTGTTGTCTACGTACAGGACTGGAGGAGAACGAGGCGGCTCTCCAAGGTCGGTCAGCAGGTAGGTGAGCCAGCGAAGCTCCTGAGCAGCCATAGCCCCGGCGTAGATCTCAGCCTCACAACTGGAGTCGAGAACAGAAGACGAGCGAGTAGCCCGCCATGAAACAGAGCCGGAACCAAGGCCAAAGGTGTAACCCTGTGACGACCGCTGCGTAGCCTGGTCGTCAGCCCAAGAAGCGTCCGCGTGCCCAGTGAGGACCACTGGACTCCGCCCTCCAAGCACTAGCCCCATGCCCGACGTACTGCACAAGTAGCGCAACACCCTCTTCGCTGCAGCCATGTGCTCTAGTCGGTGTCTCCCAGGAGCAACATAGCGTGCGAGAATGCTGAGAGGGTATGCAAGGTCAGGTCGTGTGCAGGTCATCAGGTACATGAGGCAGCCAACAAGCTCTGCATACGGGCCACTCGACTCTACGAATTCATTCGAAGGCAGAGCTGAGAGCGAGTGGCGAGTAGGCAGAGGAGTGGCCTGAGGTGAGGAGTACGTGAAGCCGAAGCGCTGAAGGACCTGCTGCACCATGTGTGACTGAGTCAGGGTAATGGTACGGCGTGCTCCGTCCCGGGTGATCTGCAAGCCAAGGTAGCTGCGCAGTTCACCCAGGTCAGTGCACGTGTGTCTCTTCTACAGCTCGGACTTCACGTAGGCGAGTCCAGCAGTGTCAGCTGTGGCAAAGACCAAGTCGTCGACGTACACGAGGATGTAGAACGGCGGCAGAGAGGTGTCGGTGCGCAAAAACAGCGACGGGTCGGCAGTAGAAGGAGCAAACCCAAGTGCCGCAAGCGTAGTCCTCAGTGTGTCGTGCCACTCACGTGGCGCCTGGCAGAGACCGTAAACTGGACGCCGGAGACTCCACTGGGTACCAGGAGGGAAAGACCCATAGAAGCCAGGTGGGCGACGCAGCCAGATCTCCTCGTGCAAGCTGCCCTGCAAGAAAGCAGTGCTGAAGTCGAGAGAGTGCAGCTCATAGTCACGGTGAGCAGCAACGTGCAGCACTACCCGAAGAGTGGTCATCTTCGGGTGGGGGAGAAGGTCTGAAAGTAGTCAACTCCCTGCCGCTGACTGAAGCCTCGAGCCACGTAACGCGCCTTGAAGACAGGCGGAGAACCCGGCGGCCGCTTCACCCTGAAGATCCACATGCCACTGACGATGTTCGCCCTAGGAGGGGGAACCGCGTCAACGTAGGTGTTTGTGGACTTCCAGGATGCCATCTCTGAATCCATAGCTGCCTGCCACTGAGAGGAGTAGGGACCCTCTATCGCCTCAGTGCATCCGGGTCTCCCTCAGGGGCGAGCAGTACAGACGCGAGATGAGGTGAAGCGGCGGCCAGACACTGGAACTCCTCCTGCCTGTCCTCAAGGACGTCCGTGCCTAGGGCACACTCACCCCCGACGGACGGAGGACAGGCAGACTCAGACTCAGCGAGAAGACTAGCAGCGTAGTCCAGACGACAGCGCGCAGCAAAGTCGACAAGCTCAGTGACAAGGGCAGACGCAGGAGAAGACTCGAAGGAAGGGTCAGTGACAGCAGGAGCAAGGAGACGCGTGACAGTGGGACTGGCAGCACGAAGAGAGTCCGACTCCGGGTCGGCAAGGGCAAGAAGAGAGGACTCAGGAGGAGAAGGCAAAGGGGCACGCAGAGGAGCAGTGGACGGACGCAGAGACATCCGGTGCGTGCCAGGGACAGAAGGAGGACGCTGACGTGAACCGCGACCACTAGTGCGTGCAGGACGAACAGGCGACGCAGGACGAGACGCAGGCTCACGACGCTCAGTAAGACCTCCAGTCGGACCAGCGTAGGGAGAAGGAGCAGGCAAAGGGGAGGCAGGCTGTAGCTGTGACTGGGACTGGACAGGCTGTGGACCCTCGAAGGGAGGCGGAGGAGGACCAGGAGAAGGTGTAAGACCAATAACCTGCTGCAGGAGCGGAACGAAGTACGGTCGGGGCCGCGTGGCGACGCCAGAAACAGCAGGGACAGCACCAGTACCTCCAGCAGGAGTACCTGCTCCAGCAGCACCTCCAGCAGCACCTCCAGCACCAACACTCTCAGCAGCACCAGCTCCAGGAGAACCCTCAGGCCCAGCAGCTCCAGCACCCACAGCACGAGCACCTCGGGGACGCGCGGCAGCAGCACCCTCTGCAGCCGAAGAACCTCCAGCACCAGCAGCATGCCTCCAGCGCCGGGCAAACCACTCACGCAGCTCCTGTGGGGATAGTGGCTCTCGGCGAGACGAAGCACCTCCAGGGGGAGAACCACCAGGCGAAGAACCTCTAGACTCAGCACCCTCAGGCAAAGCACCTCCAGGCGGAGCACCCCCAATCTCAGTCCCCCCAGGCTCAGCACCCCCAGGCTCAGCACCCCCAGACTCAGCACCCCTAGGCTCAGCACCCCCAGACTCAGCACCCCCAGGCTCAGCACCCCCAGGCTCAGCACCCCCAGGCTCAGCACCCCCAGGCTCAGCTCCCGCAGCAGCACCAGAGTCACCAGTGACCTCGACAGGCTCGACCGCGTCTACCTGGGACACACCTGAAGGGGCAGGACCCTGAGAGGGGGGGGGGGGTCTACCGGGGGGGGGACCTGGTACCAAGAAGAGCGGGGGCGGTGGGAGGGACGGAGTGCGGTAGGGGAAGAGGCGGTAGTAGGGTACCGACTCGTCGAACGTGACGTCCTGGGAGGATAGAACACGTCGAGAGGTGGGGTGGTAGAACTGCCACCCAGGGGCGTCGAGGGGGAACCCCAGGAAGACGCAGGGAGCAGCGCGAGGGGACAGCTTGTCCGCAGACAAGTCGCGGACTAACGCCCGAGATCCCCAGACCCGGAACGCCGACGCATCGCCAACCTTCCCCGTCCACAGCAGGGCTGGGGAGGTCTCCGGCCTGGAGACCCTGGGGTGGAGGTTGATCTGATGCGCCGCGTACCTGACCGCAAACGGCCACAGAAAATGGGGGGCAGCCGCATGCATCATAGACGTACGAGCGACGTCCATGACCATGCCAATGCGGCGCTCTGCAATCCCATTTTGCTGCGGTGAGTCCGGAAGCGTGAAGGTCTGGTGGATGCCTCGCGCACGTCAGAAGGCACGCAGAAGGCCAGAGGAGAACTCTCCGCCTCTGTCCGAGTGCAGACGCAACACAGGAAAGTCCGAGCCAAAGCTCTGCCTGAGCTGGAGACGAGCTGCGCGGATCCACTCGATCAGCACCTCAGTGACATCACCCTTGCTGCGCAAGGGGAAGACTGTGGTGTAACGCGAGTAGTCGTCAACCACCAACAGGAAGTAGCGCTCGTGACCGAGTCCACGGACGCGGGCAGGGCCCCACACGTCCATGTGAAGTGTCTGCAACGGAGCCTCTGTCGGAGGAAACTGGGAGGAGTGAGGGGCAGCACGCAGGCGCCCCTTGACGCAGGGGACACAGGCAGGGCCAGGGCCCTGAGGAAGGGGAGGGAGGGACCGGGGGAGACCAGACACAAGAAGACGGGAGGCCATGCCTCTGAGCCGAAGCAAAGAGGGGTGGCCAAGGCGGTGGTGCCAGAGGAGAGTCTCGTGAGACAGACGGTGACACGAGCAGGGGGCAGACTCAGGACTAGACATGGACGCTGCAGCAAACACCTGACCAGACGAAGGGACTCTACCAGACTCAGCACCGGGAGGAGAAGTAGTGGTCAGTGTGTACAGGCTCGACCCTGGCTGACGTGTAAACGTAGCCAGGTGGCGACCTGTGCTAGCCTCTGTGCAGTGCGTCACCCGCTGACGAGCAGGAGTGAACTGGTGGACACCCACATCCTGTAGGTCAGCACCACTCACCAGGTTCGTAGAGAACGAGGGGAGGTAAAGACCAGTGAGGGTGCCAGAGGGAGCCGCCGGACACGGGAGGAGTGTGGAGAAACGAGACAGGACAGGACCCCCAGAGGGGTCAGCCAGGGACACCGCAACAGGCCGACTAAGCGGCGTGAGAGTGGTGCGGTGCCGAAAGAAGGAGCGAGACGCCCCACAGTCAAGGGTGAAGGTGTGAGAGGCAGAAGCCGACACAGTACCTGAGAGGGCAGACTCACCAGTACCTGAGAGCACAGACGCACTGGCACCTAGAGCAGCAGCCTCACTGGTACCTGACGCAGCAGTACCAATGCCCGGGTCGGGCGGGAAACACCGGTAACAGTCACCATCATCACTAACAGCCACAGCATACATGGCAGCAAGGATAGCATCAAAGTCAAGATCAAAAACAGCTACACCAGCCCTAGACAGCTCTCCCCAGCGGGGGATCTCAGAGGCCTCCGGAAACTGCTGGCGCCAAGCGTCGGTCAAGCGGGCAAAGCAGCGACGAGCGGTGTGGGTGCCCCCACACTGCTCACCTGCGCGGTCGCCGGTGCGAAGGACGTAGGCGTAGGGACCGAACGCCCCACCACGCTGACGCTGCGAGTACCACTCACGGAGCTGCTGAGGGGCGGGGACGTCGCGAGAGCGCTGCTGCTGCTGCTGCTGCTGCTGCTGCTGGCGCTGACCACCCCCAGTGCTGCCCTGCTGGGACGAGCCTCTCCGACCACCTCCACCACCGCCACCTCCGCCTCCGCCGCCACCGCTACCCTCGCCCCCGCCGCTCCCACTGCCACCTCCGTCACCACCTCCGCTGCCACCTCCGCCTCCACTGCCGCCACCAGTACCTCCACTCCCGGCTCCACCCCCACCGCCACCCCCACTCCCCCCGCTGCCCCAACCTCCTCCGCCACCGCCCCCGCTAGCTCCACCCGCTCCCTTGCCTCCCTTGCCCCTGCCAGAGCGGCGCCTACCGCTGGGGGCAGACGCCGCACCGACCGACTCTAAACCAACGAGGTCGGCCGCAGCAGCAGAGGCGACATAGGGTAACAGGGGGGAAGGAGAACACCCCTCAAAGATGGGGGTGCGCGGGTCACCACGAGAGGCCCCTACAACGACTATGCTCTTCTCGGCCGCTAGCAGGGACTTCTCGAGGAGGTCGACAGTGAGGGTGGTGGGACAGACAAAGAGAAACTGGTCCCTAACAGCACGAAGGGACTCAGGGAGACAGGTGACTAGAAAGTAGAGGGTGATGTACATGGGAGGGGGGTTTTCAGAGAGGAAGGCAGCAGGAAGCGCAGCTTGGTAGCGAGTGTCACTAGCGCGAAGGTGGGTAAAGAGGTCAGTGACTGTGGGAAAGGCAGCAAGGTCAGGGAAGAGGTACGGTAGCATGAGGCGGCTCAGTGTAGCAGTGGAAGGGGAGGAGTAGCGCGCAACTACAGCGTCGTACAAGGCCTGAGCGGTCTTGCACTGACTAAAGTGTGCACGCTCGGAGGAAGGGAGGTGGCGACGCACAGCAAGACGTGCAGCAGCATCGCGTGTGGCCCACTTGGAGCGAACAGTGGGGTCAGCATCAGCAGGAGGGGCAGGGACAGCGCTAGAGACAAAGTCAAAGAGAGAAACCTCATCGATCGCATCGCACAGTAAGTACAGCTGCAGGTCCTCAATCTAGACTGCAAAGTCAATGGCGCGACCCTCAGCGTCAAAAGTCAGGACAGTGGGGGTGGCCATTGGAGCAGCTGACAGTCTCACCGGGCAGGAAGAGTCGGGAAGCACAGCGGCACAGCAACAAGGCAGTACAGCAGCTGCGCCGGCCCAGGTGCAGTGGGAGCCCCACAGGAGCAGAAGATCGGCTCCTCGGGCGGCTCGGGCGGCTCAGGCGGCTCGGGCGGCTCGGGCGGCTCGGGCGGCGTGGGCGTCTGGCGGGCGGCTCACGGGCGGCTCGCGGGCGGCTCACAGGCGGCAGCACGGGCGGCTGGCGCGGCGAGCGGGCGGCTCACGGGCGGCTGCACGGGCAGCCGAGGCGGCTCACGGGCGACTGGGGCGGCTGCACGGGCTGCTGGGGCGGCTCGAAGGCTGCTCGCGGGCGGCTGCACTGGCGGCCGCACGGGTAGGTGCACGGGCGGGTGCACGGGCAGCCGCACGGGTAGGTGTACGGGCAGGTGCACGGGCGGGTACACAGGCGGGTGCACGGGCGGGCACA